TTTGGTTTGTAGCAGCAAAGTATATGTCATGTAATATGATAGACCAACTATGCAGTTTACACAAATAGTAAATGCAAGTATAATAAAATGTAAGATATGAATACAATTTGATGTCAAATTAAATATATTGAACATGTAGAGTAGTCAAGCATTTTATATCTAAATGTCATACTTATATTTTAACTGCTACAGTTTTGTATATCCAAATACAAATATTAATGATGTAACTTATATGTCTATGCCCATTTCTAGAGGCCGCCTAAGATCTAAGAATTTCATTGTTGACTGTTTGCCGTATTTGTTGTTCATAAGTAATAAAGAACCTAACTTGTGTGTGTGTGTGTGTGTGGTGGTTGTTTTGGGTCTTCGATTTATGCACCTCACACATGGAAGTGTATTCAAAAATGATCGCAGGTTAAATACAAATCTATGGACTCATCAACTTTATTGTTTTGATAGAGAATTGGTTTTGCAACCAGGTAACACACAGAGAAATATGACCACATTCTCATACGAAAAACCCAATAAATGACATCAATACATCGAGTAATAACAGGAAATCTAGCCATTGCTAGTAATAACCAAAATCAGCCTAAAAGAGCTAAACTGAAAACTAATTATCAGCTGGGTAATCTAACAACTTGGTTGCCTGAGAAATAAAGTAATTATTCATTATTATAAAGGAATCATTCATCATAATAAAGGAATGATTGGCCTTTGGAAGTCTTAATCTTTGTCCGGAGGGTAGTAGTTTAAATTCTCCAAACAGAAGATGAAGATAACTGTGTAAAAATATCTCAAGCCTAGAGATGATCTTACATAACAAGGGATCTAACAAGCTGACTGTGAAATGATGGATCCATGTTATGATCTAAATTATTCATAAAACGTAGGCTATTAACTGCATTTAGATTTGTAAATGTGAAAAGTGTCAAAATGAAGATGTATAAAACATTAAATGCACTTACTACTCACATTCCACCTCTTGCAAATGCTACACATGTATTCAAACCACCCACAATTGCCTCACTCATCTATATTTGTATCCATCCTCTGTGCCTTGTCTCCTGTCTTATCACTCTTTAAAAAGGTATTGTCTTCTCTTTAAGTCTCATGTCTTATTTTGGGGTAGAGAATTGATAGACTAAAATCATTCAAATATCATCCAACCACCAGCAGCACCAGCAGCACAGTCTGTTTAGCATTTGATGCAAGATATTAAATAAAACAAAACAGATTGAAGTTACTCATTTCCAGCCATCTACCTGATCTGCATGTTGTTTGTTTTGTGCTGTGAAAACCAGTGGTTCATTTGTAAGTAAAGACCAAAAGACAAGAGCAGGAGAAATATTAGATGTTGGAGTTACAATGAGTGAAAACAGACAATGAGCAGCTAGCATGGGAGGTGGTGTAAACAACACTCGTGTTATGGCGCATTTATGTGAGCCATTAGAAAGTAGTGTACAGGTTGCAAATACATTTTTTAAATGAAAACAATATTTTTTGGATATTGAAGTTTCGTGCTATGAACTTTCCGTCCCACATTTCCGCTGTACGGGCATTTGCCCTGATTGACACCCGTGGGGAGCCAATAGGGAGCCACGAATGCGAGCTTTGACCAATAGGAACACAGGGGGGACGGTTGTTATCAAGTCGTAAACGGTTAGTAACAGGACAAGCAGGTAAGTAAGATTCTTGTTATTTTTCTCAAAATTAACGAACGCACCGCTTGTCAGGAAAAAACACTAATTTGGTTAAACTATTAGCTGTTCGATTTGAGCAGGTTGGAATTTTTACTTGCACTTTCATGCCAAACGTGCAATAAAACGGTAGTCATTGAGAAGTCAGTATGGGGATTGGGAAGCAAACAAGCTAGCTAGCTGAGTCTGCTAGCTAAGTTGGCTGTTATTGGCCGTTAGCTCACTACGTCAACATTAGCATGGCTAACATTAGCTTATCATCTAGCGCTGGGAGAAAGTACAGTTAATTCTGTCACTATATCGTTGGCATTGAATTAATTGACACGATAAGCCAGTAAAGAACCCAACTCATAAGTTGCTTTTACATTCCCGATACCAGTGTTAATATTATTCAACATGTAAAACTTTTTCATTATAAATGTGCAATGATAACGTTCCCGTAGGTTAACATTAGCCCGGCTAGCGCTAGCTTGCCAGCTGGACGTAAAAAAAAAAGAACACCCTTCAGAGTCTGTTAATAACTTGGTTTAGTGGGTGTTGCTCTGACCTGAAATACGAATAAACTAATGTTTGTTTATGTATTCTTATTCTTTTAGGAGTCATGTTATTTCCATGTGCGGAAACTGGAGTTATGGCTTCATGGATTATTGAATGGAGCGAACCAACAATGGAGTTAAAGGTATTTCTAAATATATATAATATATATATAATTTTTATTTTTGTATGGGTTCTGACGGAGACCTTCGGATCCTCTCAACCAGTCCTCACATGTGTTCATGGATTTAGTGCGGACAACAACTAGGATGAAATTGTGGATACTATTTCCCGAAATAATTGTCTTTTTTGGTGGGCCTGCCTGTCCTTTCGCCTGGGAAGGAGCACCATATGGCGCATCTTATCAGGACAACCAAGCATCCCTGTGGAAGTATTTCTGACAGCTGGGAAGAGACATAAAACCTGCTGGATGGATCACACATCACAGCAAAGTGTGGGAGACCGCCTCTTATCCCTTGAGGAGGTTTAGGATGCATATTGAGAGGCAGGAAGTGTAAGCAACTTCTTTTAGGCTGTTGACTTTGTGACCTGGAACATAATTTGAGCAGAAAAGGACACATTTAGGATAACTATCCAAGTTATCACATATTTAATTGTGACATTTGTAGTTTTGCTCCTGAGACTTGTATGTAGATATCAATTTGAAATAGTATTCAGAACAGGCGGATATGGACAGTTTCTAATTTACACATAGGATTGGTAATGACTTGCTTATTATTCATGGTTGTCTGATAATACTCAGAGACCATGCAAGACCTGTAGAAAACAAGTGGTATGCAATAATTAGCATTACTTAAGCAAGGATGCAACATAGCACTGAGTACATCTAATGTGGATGATTTCCTTGGAAAAACATCTAGTGCGCAGGAAGTGACAATTATAGTAGTTTATTTAGAGTCATAGAAGATCAACCAGATAAGTGTTAGCAACAGTAAATTGAAAAAGTAGAGATAGGCAAGTAACCACATAAATGGGAAAAAAAGACAAGAAATATCAGTACTGTACACACTTAAACAGCAACAGTTTATATATATATATATACTCTAGATACTGTACAATGTTATTCAATCCAAAATAATATAATATATTATGTTTTAAAAGCTGGGGCTGGTTTTTGAAACAGCTTTTTTGTATGAAGTTCAAGCTTGAAAAAAATTGCACGTCCGCTTGTGTTTAGGCATTATTTAACCTTACCTTCTTTTCAATATTATAAAAGCGGTCTTAAGTAAAAGTGAAAGATACAAAAATAATGCCCAGCCCTATTTAATGCTTGTATGAACAGTTTTTAGATTTTCAGATTTGTATTTTTGTACTATATCTTCTTAGTCCACTACTACACAACCAACAAGCAATAGCCTACAATGACCGTTTACCAACCTATAAAACTAAATCTTAAGTGCTTATGTGATAAATTGCAGACCTTACTTTACTATCAATGCACATGTTCAAATACTAAGACCACAAAATGCAGTTAGGCATCTAACAGGAAGTGCAGTGCAACATGCATGTACAATGCGTTACATATAGAATAGGAATGCAATGTGATCGGCTATATCTTTGCTTTTTAATACCCCTACGTTTTTCAGTAATCATTAAGTATGTCTTTTTCTATTCCGTTTGAGACTGTTAAACATCTGTTAACATAACGCAAACATTTCCCAAATTGGGATCAATAAAGTACATCTTATCTTTATCTTATTTGATCATAACTGAGGCTGCAGCTTGTGGTGGTAGTGTACTTCACTATGAAATATTTGTATATCATTTTTAATCCACTTCAATACAATCAACTAGCTTCACATTACCAATTAAACAACTCTGACACAGACAAAACAAAAACAATCTTAATGGCCATTTTGTTACATTGCATTATAGTTAAATATATGAGATTAAGTATAATATTATTGCATTTTTATATGTTCTAGATAACCGAATAATTGTTTGGGGAAAATAGTGAAAAATGTGCATCCTAGTTTCATAATCCAAAATTATGCTAGAGAGGCTTCAGAATTTCCAGGGATGTTGTATTAAACATTACTTTAATGATTAATCCATAGTGGGGACATGTCTGTTAAAGTTTAGTTTTCAGTGATTTGTGTAGTGTAGGTGTCATGGTTTTGTTTAGTGCAATTTGTACACATTTCCTCTTTCCTGATGTTCTTACCAACTGTCCTATATATGTTGTGTGGTATTATATTTTGGCCTATGGCTGTATTTAACAGTTCTGTGCTGTAGAGCTCCTTCGTGTGGCCACTGGCTGTACATTCAGAGAGGTGTTGGTGTAGTGGTGGGCGATCTAGTTCCTGTTAAAAGTGACATGAGAGCCAGGCAGTCTGGACTGGGTTTAGTTTCCCTATTGTAAATATGTAGGTTTAAGGAAATCTTTAGCTATTTAGAAGAGTAAATAAAACCCTTAATGTATCAATAAATGGTTAATTGTGTGCCATATGTGGATAAAATACAGGTGGTTAAACTGAAAGCATAATGATTTATTTACTAGTGGGAGAAGAGTCGCACATAGCTGTAGTACTATTTGCAGTTTCACCAGCAGCTTTTTATTGTGGCCTTTATGTCTTAAATGCTAAAATGACATTGCACTATGTTTTTGGAAGACAATGCCCTCCTGTGGTATCTTCTTTTGAGCTTTTATGTCGTTTCTTATCTGCCCTTTACTCTAGTGGTGAGTATGAGAAATGTCTCCCGCCTACCAGCAAGCAATACACACACGCATACGCACACACACACAGCCCTCCTATGTTTGTCAGACTCAAATCCGAGGGAGAGTAGCTAGCCGCCATTTTCTAAGCGTCTCTCCCTAAAACGAGAGAAAAGGGCTCGCGACAAAACTGCCATCTGGATTACCTTTCGCTTACTGAGAATCGGATTTTTCGGTAAAATATTGAGGCAAATTCACCTACATATGAAGTAAATTGGAGTGGAAAGGAGTGTTTCACGGCCTTGTCTTTATATTCGCTGAGTGTTAGCGGCGAGGCGAGCTAGCTGGTCGAGCAAGGTGTAGATCGTTGATTCGCCCATTCGCCTGAATCCGGAACGAGATCCGAGCGGCTCTGTGAACTGGGCCTTTTTGGGGCAATCTGGTTGCATTTTTGTTGGATTTATTAATGGCAGTCTGATCGATTCAGGCCGCGTTTTTTGTGGTAGCACCCTTGGTTTTTTTCCACTAAAACTGCAGGGGATTGTTGCCGAAATTCCCTCGGATAGTGCAACCTCGTCACGTGGTAGGTTCCTCCTTTTTCTTTGTTAGCGAGCTAGCTAGACTGGCAGGGTCTACTCCCAACTTCTCAGCTTTTGACATATGTGCATTAACGTTTCATACAAATAGATGTATCTACAGCGAGTGTATCAAAGGAAGGCCGCCGTTGATGTACAACAACAGGCCTGTCTGTATTTATTTCCATAGTCTAATTGCAATGCAAACCATGTCTCCACTCTGCAATAGGTCCTAAAGATAAGTTGTGATCGACAACGAGTGGGGTTGTCTTGTTATTATGACAACATTTGCGATGTTGCAGCAACCAGATATAACCCTGATGTTAGTGCATGTGCTACCATGGCTTGTTTAATGTTACATTGGGCGTTATTGGCTCAAAACTATCAGTAATGTGAGCGTATGTTGTGTAGTCTGTGACTAAAACTGTTTACTTGCCATAACGACTTTTGCGTAACGTTAAAGCCCAGTGGCTTTGGCCGACAAACTAGAACCCGCAGGGATGTGCTAATAAAACATAAGCCTCAGAAATGATCTATAATTTGATGAACGTAGGTTACGTTAACGTTTCACTGCAGTTGGCTTATGGATCCGCACGCTAGCTTTGCGAGGAGGTTGTGTTTCTTGCATCAGCAGCTTTCCCGAGCTAACGTTAGCCAGACGCGAAGCGCATTATTGTGCACGCAGTGGATAAAGTGACATGGGTTTTAATAGCGAGATATTTATCTTTTGGTTCTCGGGAGATCAGGTGGTGATTTTTTGTAATGGCATGGCTCGATGATACAAACACACTGACTGGTCTTATTTTCAGCGGAAGCTATTGTAGACATCAAGATTACCACATAACGTTATTACACTCGTATGCATCTAGAAGCGTGGCGGAACGTTCCATTTTTAAACGTAAAAATATTTTTGTAAACATCAGGAAGACATTTTGGTGATTACGTTATGGTTGGCTAACGTTTGATGTGGGGATTTTTTGTCGCATCTCTAACCTGACACTCTACAGATATACTGGTGTTATGGTGCATGTAAATTGAACCGATTCGTTGACTAATGATATATGATTAATCTCCCGCCTGTAGCATTAACAAGTTCGGTCTGTTTTGAGTGGAATGGGCGGTTTTAGGTAGATGAGATGCATTGCATAATCTGCTTCGGAAATACCAACATGGCGTAGTGCGCGCTGACTAGAAACTGCGGTGAAATACTGAGCCCCCATTCATCTCACCCTGCAGACGATACGCGGGGATGCAGCTCGCTTTTATCTCTTGTTTTATACGAATGGAGGATCTTCCCTTTAAAGTTTGATCTGGATATGCAGCCAGTCTGTGTGAATGATATGTTAAACACTAAACCAATTCACCACCATGATCAGAATATTGTGGTTCTCTTTAAATATACATTTTTTAGAAAAATGTTGCTGACATTTTTGTAAATCAGTAAATAACTTATTCTGAAATTGACACAGGAACCTAGTCAGGATGACATCATGTGGTTTGGACTAATACTGGGGCCTAAATCCACCTACTTACACTGCTTGTGTGCTGCACAGGGCACATGTAGGGCAGTGGGGTTTGGACAATTTGCATTGGCTTTGCCTGTTTCTTCCCTCTCCAGAATTGAATTCCTTAGCTTATTCTTTAAAGAGCAGCCTTGTAAGTAAATGACAATGAAGGCCTGTTCACACGAGCATGGGTGTAGTGGGAATTATTTATTGGCCTTGGAAGAAGTAGCTCAGATGTCTCCTGTTATTCTACCTGTATTGTTAGTATCCCTTTTGCCAAGGTCAGTGCATATCATTAATTGTTTGATATGTATTTAAGTATTTGAAGAATTCTGTAGATTAATCTATAGATTAAGTTTACATCGTACATTTTTACTATTGACATGAATTACTGCTTTTTTAAAGGTCCCATGTCATGCTTTTCCGGTTATTACCCGTCCCCTTGTGTGTTATGAAGGTTTGTCTGCATGTAAACGGTCTGCAAAGTCACAAACCCTCAAAGTACACCCTGTAGCGAGTAAAACTATAACTCAGAAAATACCTGTCTATGCTGCCCCAGAACGCCTCATTGGAGATTTCTCTTTTTCTTCCTGGGTACAGTGATGTGCCCATACCCAAATGGACCAATCCGTGAAGCCGTTGCGTTACGTCCGCGGAGCCGTTGCGTTACGTCCGCGGAGCCGTTGCGTTACGTCCGCGGAGCCGTTACGTCCGCGGAGCCGTTAGGTTAAGTCCGCGGATTGGTCCAAATGGACCAATCCGCGGACTTCCTCACACACACACACTCAATCTTTTCTCAGCTGCAGCTCCGCCGATTTCTCCTCCCTGGGACGGTGGGACGCGGCGAGGCTGTGAGTCGGTGTGTGAGCACACACACAAACTCCCAGCCAGGCTGCGGGTGTGTGTATGTGTTCGGGCTGGGTTCGGGCTGGGTTTCGCTGTGTCTCGCAGACGGCCACTGGGCTCATAGGGAGGGGGGAGCAGGAGCTCCAACAAGTCGTTTAGGACAGAGTGAATACACATACTATACAGAGATGCTGTATGAGAATTTGAGAAACCAATGTGAGTTTGGAAAATTGCACAATTTAAATCTATTTTAGTATAACTCAACAATGGAATTATGATCAGTAGAAATGGCCGTGACATGGGACCTTTAATATATGAAATTGCTGCTCTTTCTTTAAGCACAAATGTTGTATGCGTATTGAACTTGAGGCTAGGCCTGTCACGATAATTAATGTTGTTGGATGATACATTTTCCTGGAAATTATTGCGATAAACGATAATATTGTCGGCACTGTTGTAGGACCATTTTAGACCACTGAGAATAATAATATATAATAGTAATTCAAGTACATATAAAATATATAAATGATATATAATAAATAAAACAAATGAATGAAATTATAATAAATGAATTAAATCACACACAACCAAAACAATAAATTAAATAGACTCAGGCTGGAAAACTGAGCTCTCTCTCTCTCTATCTATCTATCCCAGATGCCTCAACAGGCCATTATCCAAATCTGTTTTTCAAAGTTTTCGAGCAAGGAACACCAACATTCATTTCATTTCAAGCCTTTATTTATCCAGGTGTATCCCTTGAGATCATTGATCTCTTTTTCAAGGGAGACCTGCTCAAGTAGACATGTTTGCATTGTCAGGCAAATGCATCTTTGATTGTAAACTGTCAGGAAGGTGGGGGCTCTCCATCTCCAGCTGCTGTGTTTGCTACCAGCTGGGAAAACAGAATGGGGTGGTTGTGTTTTAGGTGTAGTTTAAAATGCGTGGTATTGCCTGCTTTTGTCGCTACCTTTTTTAAACGAATGCGACACACCGCCCGGCTCATTGAAGTCCGTAGGTTCGCCTCGTTGATTTGGCTTGAATCCAAAATACTGCCACACCGGAGAATCGAGATGTGTAGTTAGGTTTTGTAACCAATTCCATTTAACTTTAAATTCCCCGCAAGTAAGTCACACGTTGTCTCTCGCTTGTCGCTATATTATTAATTTGGCTGCTGCACGTGCACGCGGAGTGTCCTGACCTGGCTGTGTGCCAGCCCCGCCCCTCACAGCGCGCATGGTCAGCGGCCACAGTGCGCCTGGCAGCCACAGCGCGCCTGGCAGCCACAGCGCTCCTAGCAAAAATGCTGGTCACATCCTTATGTAAACGGCAATTTATCGAGCTCAGAAAAGTTATCGAGTCCATTTTTATTAATTGTACGATAAGTCAATTCGATCGATTATCGCGACAGGCCTACTTGAGGCACTGTATTTTGTCCCTTTTCGCCTGTAGGGAGTAGTAAATAATGATATTAAGGAACTTCAACATTATTTTGATAACAAATGGAATTATTTTCTGGGATTTTGTGAGAGCCAAGTGGCAAGGAAGACGAGAATGAATCTGATCATCTCATATGTCTCTCCTCCTCGTCTGTAATGCTTTTTGAGGTTCAGCAGTTGAACCATATTTTTAGCAACACTTCCCACCAGTAGGATGACAAAATGTCAATGAGTCACTGGTTGATTTGATTGGCCCCCTTTTAACTTGATTGGTGGCAAACATTTACTGTAGGTTTGTTTTTAAGTTATGCTTGAGGTTGAAGCTGGTTTTATACATTTTAAAATGCATCATTGTTTTGGGGTGGTGGTTTGGTTTGTCTTTTTCCACTCTAAAGTCTCACAGAACCTGTATTGCAGGTATTTCAGTGTTATATTTCATTATATATATATATATGAACAGCTTGCCTTTTTATGTTGCTTTTTAGTGAACAAAATAATGTCAAATGAAAATATATCCTTATATATTATTTAGATATATTCTTTTGTTTTCATTTATTTAAATCAAAGTATGTTTTTGACTCCACCTCTCCATAGCACTCTCATTATCTATCTAAAATATATTGTTACGGGTATTAAATGAAGCATTCTTCCTTACTTGATGGCCTTCTGAATAATTATATTATGCATTAAGCACTGTTACAAATACATTTTTTGTAGAGTGGCCGGTTCAAGTATTAAATGTACATTTAAAGACAACGTCTGTATATGTTTGTATTCCTCATGTGGTTGTGGGCCCATAACTGTACAAGGCTGTGAATGTTATAATTGTTAATCCACACAACGTCCTTTTATGCCTACTAAGATCAGAATTTGGTGTAGTGTGTAAGGTTTTTATGTGTGCTTGGGATAATGAGACTACTTTGTTTAACGTTATTTCTTGTCTCCCCTCCCCTCTTGTCTTTATTTTGTCATACAGGCTGTCCTCAGGTGGGGCAGTAAGTGGGTGGTGTGGAGCAGGCCGCGGTGCCCGTCCCTCTGCACTGTATGGCTGCGATGGCGCCCGCTCTCACCGACGCCCCAGCCGAAGCTCACCACATCCGCTTCAAACTGGCTGCCCCATCCTCAAGTCTCTCACCAGCCAGTGCAGAGAACAACGGTAACGCCAGCAACATCCTCATCCATAGCAGTGGCCCCGCTAAGTGCAAGGTGGTTTCTGAAGATTGCCCCCTCGACTTTTGTGGCGGCGACCAGGAGCAGCAGCAACAGCAGCCCCAAGTCGATTCTGTGGCCCAGGCCTCGGCCCTGGGAAAGCTCCAGCCGCTGGTGGCTTCTTACCTATGCTCTGATGTGACAACTGTCCCTTCAACTAAGGAGTCAATCACACTGCAAGGAGTCCTCATTAAACAGTCTGTGTTGAAAGGTCACAGAATACTGCCCAGCTCCCTGCTCAACGGCGGAGGAGACTTCCTGTCGAGGAAGAGGCAGCAGATTGAATTATCTGGTGGCCAACTCAAGAGCCTCATGAGTGGCAGCACTAACGGAGGTGGTCAGCCAATGGCACCTGTCAATGGCCTGGCCAAAAAGCTGGCCACCATCACTGGCCCTGGCTGCGTGGTGGCAGTGAACGGTGACAAGCCGCCTGCCACAGACTCTCAGTCCCAGAACCTGCCCTCGGACTCTGAGACCTTGACAGCTACTCTATCGGGTCATATCCAGATGAAAGGAACCCTCAAACAGAAGCATTCCTCTGGGGTTTCTAAAAATACAGACGAAAAAAACTGTGAACCACCCGTGCTCCAGTCTGCTGCCCTTTCCCCTTACACCCTTAACAACCCTAAGCCCACTGAACAAATGAATTTGGAGGAGGCTGATTCACACACGCCTATCGGTCAGCCACAGGGTTCTGATAGGGAGAGACCAGGTAGCAGCCAGCAGGGCTCCCCGTCTTGCACATCTGCGCCACAGCCTCCTCTACCCTGCACGTCTTTCTCTGACAGCCTTGATGCTCATGTTAAGGAGCGTACACTTCTCAACAGCAGCCGGCAATCTGAGATTGAAAATCGGCTGCGTCGCCTGCGCAAACGTCTTCAGGTTGTACAGGCCAAGCAGGTGGAGCGGCACATTCAGCAGCAGCTGGGTGGCTTTTTGGACTCGGCTCTCAACCGGCTTTTGGCCGGTAACCGCAAAGCAGAAACAGCAACCCCTACAGCTACATGGAAGACTGGACGCCACTCTTCGTCAAACAGCAAAGACGGCCTCGGTCGCTTCCTTAAAAGCGGCTCCATGCCCTTGGAACTGGAGAGGCTGTATTTGAGCGGAACGGCTAACCTTCATTCAGCAGAAAGCGCCTTTGACTCAGATGTAACAGAAAGTAGTTCTGGAGGGGACTCTGACCTGGAGGAGGAAGAGCTGACAAGAGTGGACATTGAGCAGCGACATGTCAAAATGTAAGTAAAGGGATCCACACCCACTAAAATAAATAATAAATAAATGATTCTGCATTAACAGAAAATTCATTACTGAGGTGAAGTTGACCTTTTAAAGGCAGCATTTATGTTAGAAATGACAAAAAAACCGTTTTATAGTAGTTACACATCCCCCGTGCACTTTACCTGATTTGCATTCAGATTTCTATGGTGCTTGTAGCCCTTCAACAGTGCTGTGAGAGTCCATATTTTCTGGGCCCTGCAATATGCTACTAAGTCCTAGCAGGTGCTAATGACAATTATAACTGCCTCAGTAGTGGTTGGGTAAAACTCCAGGGAGGGGTAGAGATACCATTCGCTATTCGAGTGAGTGTAGTTGTGTGGGTGGTATCATCTTGTGGAGAATGCACAGGCTGGATTGGGCTCAAAGTAAAAAGCTCTCTCGTCACACAATGTTTCCTCCTGAGTGGGGCAGAGGCTGAAACTGAACGTTCTGTTTAGCTGCAGAGTGAACAAGCGAGCCCCCACAGAGCTGATAATGTTTTGCTTTAAACTGAAACCAAAGAGGAAACTGAAGTTGGGTCGTTTCAACAGAAGGTGTGGTGTTGTGATCTTAGGTTTTCCTCAGCAGGAGCTTGCAAATATATTCCATGGGAAGTTCACATAGTCATTTCTGTGTCATTAGTGCGTGGAAGGGGGAAAATAAAGCAGGAGGGTCAGCAGCGCTAATGGACTTACTGACCTGTGTAGGATCGGGTAGATTATTAACAATGTCTCTGAGAACACTTGATTTTTATGGTCCTTTCATGTGCTGACTTTAGACCTTTGACCTAAATAGCTTCATAACCTTCATAACAGGAAGCTTGTGCGTGTTGCAAGAATGATCCGAAAGTAGAACAACAGCGTGTAATTTATTCATACCGTGTCTGTGTCCCATCGAGGGTCAAAGGAGGTGTTGTAGCCGTTAATAGAAAAAATATATAGCACGTCATGTTCAAGGAGAGTGAACATTGAGGCACTACTATGTGGCTTGAGATTGTAGGAGTGAGAGTGATTATGTCATCATGAATATGAAAGGTCATATAAATAAGGAAGCAAACTGAATTAGTTTGAGCTGTTAAATTCCCTGTCTGCTTGTTGTTACAGATCTTCAATTCTCAAAACCCCACCAATACTTCGATAGATAATGGACAGACCTAGTCAAAAAAGACAAATGTAAGGCATCAAATTCTATCAGGCATATAGTAAAGGCAAATGTTATTGAGATATACTTTGTTTTACCCAAAAACGGCATCTTGTATACAAAACCTTGACTTGAGATACAGTTATTATGCAAATTCATCTTCTGTCTTTTGTTCTTTAGTCATAAAATTACACCTTGAGGCAATAAGTCTTTCTGTTGATAACAACATAGCATGGCTGCATTTTGAATATGGCCAGCTGTAGCATTTTTACCATACAGACTGAATAAGATGTACAAAATATATCAAAGATGAGTATATTTATTATTCAGATCCATTTTAATCAGTCATAAATTATCAAATTAGATTCTTGTATTTTGGCAGTCAGTCAGATCCATTCTTTTTTTTAATTATGGCTTGATTATTTACTTCTTTGTAACTGAATGATCCTCCGTATTATATGTTATGTGCATAGAAATTAGGTTAAATGCTGCATTCGTAATAGGCCATCAGTAATGCTTGTCCCTCTTAGTTGAGTCATTTGTTGTTGAGTCAAATAAGATTTCTTTAGTTGATAAGTACAATTTTTAAAATGCAATTTCATCCTGAATTACTTGTTTCTAAAAATACAAGATTCAGAGCGGTGCTTTTGCGTGATACTTCGTGGAGGAATTCAGTTTTAAATATTTGTTGAGTAAATCAAAACTATTGGATGAGACTCTTTAGTCCACAGCCTTAGCCATCAAAGTGGGACCATTTAGAGTTAGACATAGGATGTATTCCTTTTATTGCACTGCAGCAGACTGTATTGTACATTATCATGGTTGTTATTTTTTCCTTTTACAAAGCAATTATAATTGTGTTTCCATTCTCTCATCTAATCATCTCCCTGCTCTGATGAAAAGCAGCAGTCTCTTGTTGTTTGCTGAGCTCAAGCATGAACCATATTTATTGTAGCCTTTAAACAGCACGTTGAGTACTACCTACATGTAGTCCATACATGAGAAAGCATCTGAAAGATGCTGAGGTGTTATTCAGATGTACCAGCAGGGATAAGGCAGCTACCACAGTAAAATGGTAATGTGACTCCTGCCCAACTCATTACAGTCTTCACTGTGTTTTCCTTCATCTGGACCGAGCTCGCTCTTATGTCCTTAAACAACCAAGGAAAATGTAACACAAAATGCTCAGCTGCAGTTTATCTGTTGTTACAGAAACATGACATATCTTGTTTCCTGCTTTACCGTGAAAGCCAACCGTATGGGTGTTATTGTGAAGCAGCTTCTTGCAACCTTAGTCACTGTTGTTGACGACTGCTTAGTCCTTTGCGCATAAAAAAAAGGTCTCTGTACCTTTTAAAAACATTTTAAGTGCTTTTGCTTTGTCAGTGGATCCAAATGTAATATTACAGGGTGGACTTTTATTACATTTTGGCAACATGAAACCTTCTGACACATGCATGCTTTATTAATAAAGCTGTTAATGTATAAACTGCACCCTTGCAAACACGTTCAATCACTACATGATCTCTTTGTTTCTATCCATACCCTGTGAAAGAACTGAGACAGACCAACTGCACCACAGTATTTCGCTCTGTATGGCTTAATGTTATACAGATGTAGTTACTGCTAACTGTACTACATTAAGTGTTTGTTTACTGCTTTGGTTAAAACACAAACAGGGTTTCTACACATCCTTGAACATTTTGTATGTTTTTTAATTTAAGAGTAAGCTTGAAATTGAATATGCTTTCAACATATTTTCAAAGTAGTTTTATTTACAGAATCACTTGTGCTTACTAGTCACTCATTGCTAGATAATTCCTCTGTTGATCCTTTACTAGCAAGCATTACATAATCATGATCGGCACATACAATCAAAGTTAATAAACAGCCATTTTACACAATACTATTTAGAGTAACTGTTCCAATTAGATTATTTAGAGACTTTTAGAGTCTGCACATTTTTGGCTAGTTTTGTCCAAATGTTTAAAAAGTTATTTAAAGGCAGTATGAAGCCAATGTCCCAGTTGGCCTTAAATCGTTTTATAATAAAACATTACAGGTGTTATGAGTTAAATTAATCAGTTACTATAATCCTTAGACGATGACCTATATAACAGCCCGCTGAAGTAAAAACTGAGACGTTGCCCTCCCTGCAGGAGACAGGCACCCAATGTCATCTTACACTCAGGAAAATAACACTGACCTGAGCACACTTGACATTTTGTACATGTTTTATTAGAGCACAAAAGCTTTTTGGCATGTATTCTTTGCTACACAATACAGCAGATTTATGCAATTTGAGTATAATACATTACGTGTTACTTGTTAGACGCTTTTATCCAAAGCGACTTACTCAATACTGTGGGCAATCCCCACAGGAGCAATTTGGGGTGAAGTGTCTCAGGGACACAACGACATGCTGACTGCAGTGGGGTTTGAACCTGTGCTCCCCTGATCCAAACACCTACGCACTAGTCCACTACGCCACACACCACCCTGGCTCAATAAACCAGGCGTAGAGAGCTCACTTAATTTGCACAGATGTTCTACAAAAAGCCACATTTAAAGGTTTTGTTTTGCTGTCACAGAAGCACCCATCACTTAACAGGTTTGCTAATGTTTGCTAAGCGGTAGCACATGTAAGCCTAATAATTTCTGTGTACACTGAGTGAAAGCTGCCTTGGAAATCTAAATCTGCTCATCTGTTATGCCTTCATAAGCAGACGTCTCATACACATTGTATAATCATTCATATCGCGCAAACAGGTTCTCAGCTCGCAACACAGCATAAGAGATTCTTGCCTTTTTGTGAACACCATAGTCGTCCAGGAAGTAGGGTGTGTGTGTATAACCATAAAGCCACATTTTCCCAGCTAACATTTTGTCTCTGTTACCAATAGAGATGATCCGATCACGTGATCGGGGATCGGAGCCAATCACGTGATTTTCAAAAGATCGGAATCGGGAGAAAAAAAATCGGGGATCAGTATTTTTTTATTTAATGTTACAAAACAAAAATGACCATGTTCACGTCTTAAATTCATCCTGAGGCCTTAGTTTTGGTTTCAAATTACACAACATCATGTATGTGTTGCTTCTTTTGGGCTTGTTTTCAGACCTGGTTGCTTATTTCTCTCAAAGCTGGCAACAGAGTGGGCGCAGTGTCTAATAGTAGCAGTAAGCTAACGAGAGGCTACGGTCAGCTGGTGAATCGGGAGTCGGGACAGAGAAAATGTCAGGAGTTTGGAAGTATTATAAAATTGAAAGCGAAGGCAGTGTAACAGCCAGATGCAATGTTTGCAAGGCGGAGGTTCCGCGTGGTGGAAAGTAGGGATGCTCCGATCGCCAATTTCGGGGCCGGAATCAGTATCGGCCGATGTCGATTCCGATCGAGTGGGCGGGGCCTAAATGGAAGATTTAAACATCACTTTAAATCTTCCATTTAAAGTGATGTTTAAACTCAGTTAATGGGGCTCATTCACTGGAGCTTCTACAAACAACAATCAACTTAATTATTACATTCAAATGATGTACATTATTCAAGTTTACATTCACTTTGGATAATAACACGGGAGAAATGAGCGGAAGCGCTCTCTTTTCCTCTCTCCCTCCCCCTCTCTCCTGACAGCCTGTCAGTATCTCATGCAGCTCACTGATCCAGTAATGAGTGACCCGACAGTGAAGAATACATATATTTATAATAACTAGTTTAGCTTGTTCCATAGATAAAATAGCTAAGTGTGTTAGGTCTAACTCTTGTGTGTTTCGTTCCGCTCACCGGTCCGGCGGGTGGAGCTGCAGGATTTCTGCTTCACACGTTGCATACCGCTATTTT